GGGACCGGCGAGAAAGCACGTGCATGCGGGCCGCGCCGTTGGTGACACATGCCTGTAGGGTCATTGGTGGCCCATCCCACCGCCCCGCAGGGGGCGCACCAGGTCTGCCGCGAATATGAAGGACCCCTTGAGGATGGGCACGATCAGCGGCGACTTGCCGGCGTAGTCCGCCGCGATCTGCGAGAGATTGGGGCCCAGATCGCATCAGATCACGGCAGATCGCGCGGCGAGCGATGGCTGGGACGAGGGTCCCGGCTAACAGAGCAAGGTGGCAGCGGCTCAGATGCAGAGGGTCGGACGCGCGTCCAAGCTCTTGATGCGTTTGGTGGGCCCCCGACGCAGGCCCTTGCAGACTCACTGCGCCCCTGCGTTGCTGTCACATGAGTCGGCCGAGCCGGTTCCCATCAGCGCGGCCTGGCGGCGTCGGCTCTGCCAGACGCGTCGCCCGTTACAGCGCCGCGACCCCAAACCCGGCGCAACCCACCTTGGCCCCGAGCTCTTTGGTGGCGGCCTGCACCTGCTCCCGGGTGAAGAGCACTTCCCCGCAGTCGCCTTTGATGTCGTATTGGGCCTGTCAGTGGTGTTTATGTGGTGGTGGAGGGGGGGGATGTGGAGAGGCGGGGGCTTGTGTGTGGCAAAACGAACAAACAAGCGCAGGATGTAAGTGTGCGGGCCGGCGAGGCGGGGCTGGTGTGATCGCCGCCTCGCTGGTTGCATGTGGGGGGTGAAGCTGCATGGGGCCCTCATGGTGCCATGAGTGCGGCGGCATGTGCGCAGCCGCTGCAGGTGATGCTGAGCATGTGACATGGCGTGTCTAGGTGGCGTGGCGGCCGCTGAGCGCCCTGCGCATAACGAGCACGGTGAGGGCGGTGCGCTGCTTTGGGGATCCAGACGAATGTTTTCTTACATCTCCGCCATTGATGGGGGCCGACATCGTCCAAGATTGGCCGTGCTGGACAAAGATCAGATCGATCTGGGGCAGGCGAGGCTATCGGTCCACAGTCAGACGCGGTATACGTCACGTTAAGCGTCAGGGTATGACGGGGCTCAAGGCTTAGGCCGGCACTTCTCAAGGGTCGCACAGAGAACCGACAGGTGCAGCAGCTGCCCGCGGACTTCAGCAACCAATCTACGCTCGCAGGCCCGATTCGGCCATTTTGGCGGTCTACGGGCATTGATTTGTGTATTGATTCACGGTTCGAAAGGCGAATGTGATTCAAAATCGATCTAGACCTGACGGTGTGTTGACAACCGCTCTACTGATCCACAGGGCACCTCTGCGCCGTGCAGTTCAGCACTCGGCATAGATTATCATATACACGTGACCCTAGGGCCGGCTTCTCTCGTGTCGGCCGCGCGCGCGGGCGGGAAACTCGACCAGCGTCGATGGCCATGCGGCCCGGCGAGGGCGCGAGCGCCGACGCCGTGGTGGAGCAGTTGCTTGCAGAGATGATCGATTCCGTCGCGGAAGGCGGCTCGCCCCAAGGCAGCGGCCCCGCGCACGACGCAGCGGCGCCGCCCCCGCCGCCGCTCCCAGTGGCCGACGACCCCTTGACGCCCCAGGTCCCGCCGCGGCCGCGGCGCTCCCGAGTCGAACACCGCCTGGGGGACTCCTGCGACCAAGCCTTTGCTTTAGAATCTCTCGAGGTCGACGGCGCGGAGGACGAGTGGCTGTCAACGCCCGCGTCCAGCCTGCTGCTCACCTCGCGCCCGACCCACCACGCACCCGACGGCCCGGACTGCGGCGGTGGCAGCGGCTCGGCGTCGCCCTCCACGCGCAACGCGCTTCTCGCGCGGTCCCCGAGCTGGCAGGCGTTTGTGCGCAAGATGTCCGCATCTCCTTCGCCGGACAGGGC